TACAAAGCCCAGGGCCGGCTAATTAATTACGGGTTGAAGATCTGGGCCTGGCTTGAGCTAGACCTGCCGAAAATTATGGTCACCTTATGTCAACTGGAATTCTGTGGAATGCTTGCGATTTATTTCAGCAATTACCTTTAAACAATTCGACTGCTGTATCAAAAAAATGGAAAGAAATTTTGGCGTTGTTAGAAGACGCTATTTGTGAAATTGTTGATTTAATTTCTGAAAATAATCAAAATGAAAATGATGATATTGATGATGGATGGGATGAAATTCTTGGAGAATCAGCAGCTGCAAGTTCAGTTCTTTCTACAACTGAGAAAGAGATGGGATCTTTATGTTTGGATTTAATAAAACTTGCCCAATTACTTTTTAAGAAAATTCTTCAACGGTGTATTGATCCTTTGAATACTTCAAATAAGTTGGATAAAAAAAATATCGATAATTCCCAACAAGACAACATAAATGAAACATTAGATCGATTTGTAGAATTAGGCAATTCAATCATTGATTGCACTGATGAATTAGGTACTAGCCTATATTCACCACATAATGTGGAAATGATCGTATCTCATGCTAATGATCTTAAATCACATTCTCAAGAATTAATTGGATTAGCCATGCTTTTGACAACCGGAAGTCACAAGGAATGGTTTGTTTTTTGTGATGGCCAATTTACAAAGAAATTACAAATAATTATAGATAAGAGTGGATTATGATTTTGTATTATAATTTGTATATTTTATAATAATATATCCAAGTTTTAACCTTCTCTTTAGCTTTATAGTTTATATTAAATCGTTTCATTCTATGATTCATTATACGATGTCTTTATTTTATTTTTTTTTTTTTACAAATCACCTAAATTTTCACTACTTACTGAAGATGTAATTATACATGCGGTTTTTTTATAGCAAAGATAAAAAATCCAAAAATCTATTATCTTCACTATTAAGGTTGATAATTTTCGGCAGGTCTAGCTCAAGCCAGGCCCAGATCTTCAACCCGTAATTAATTAGCCGGCCCTGGGCTTTGTA